GTTCTACAATATTTTCAAAGCAATTAATTTTTTTATCAAAAGTGTTTCAGCAGATTCACTATCAATACAGTGACATCAGCATTTAAAAGTGCAAATAATTTCAAATATACATTCAAATGTTGTTCAAACATAACAAAAATAGAAGGTAAACCAAGTGGCATATTGTGTTGAAGAAAAAAAAAAAAAAGATCTGTTAGTCATTTAAATAAATCGAAAATAAAAAGGTGACAAGATTTTCTCCTTGTCTGACACCATTTTTACAGTTAAAAAAACATTGTCATTGACATTTAAACAAAATAGGCGATGAATTTCTTTACATTTTTCGGGGAATAAGCCGTTTGAGCAGCAATGAAACTATATAAAAAATAATCTTAGCTAAAATAGTTCTCTTTTTTATGTTTACAGCACTTATCCACCGTGGGGCAAATAAAGAATAAACTGCACTCAAATGATTCAATACATTACAATAAACTGACAAATCTATGTCAGTTATGCTGCAGTTAGTATAACTACACTGTAGTCGTTCAAATCCGGATGTCTTATCTTCTCTGATTTAAATAAGTTACCTACATGAAGTCGTCATAAATTATACGATTTAATAATTATAATGCTCTTAAAATATTCAGCTATATTTCTAACTGTAACTTGGCGATCTTTCATAGCAAACTTAGGACACATCTCTTCCCCAGCTTACTTTTACTGGGCACCAGAACAAACATCATTTTTAACCCTTTTTTTCTCCCTTCCTTACCTTAAACAATCAATCCAATTAATGATTGAATTTCTGGCAAGTTTTTTGTCTTCATAAACCTTGTACAAATTATTATATGTCACTGCAAAGGAATTTCCAAGATATACATTGAATTTAACAGCCTTTCGTTTCACGACTGAGTCAGCCAATTTTTGTTACAAGTCACCTATATATTGACGTCATTTTCACATTGTGACGTCACAAACATGGAGCAAAACAATACGTAACATCTGCTATTTATAAAACATGTTTATGACTATTTCTGTGCCAAATTTCATTCTAGTTTAACGTGTATGATCAGATTCTTGCGGGAGATATATAGGTTTTCCTTTTACTCTGTTTGAGTTATAATCCGCTTGGAATAATGTCTGAGGGTATATCACACAGTAATTAAATTTTCTCTTTTCTAGAGACGGGGATTGGGTAAGTAACTATTTGCACAATGTATCTCCCTTAAGTTCCTATTTGTAGATAAGAGCAATATGTCTCAGTCTTCTTCAGATTTACTACACCCATAACTTAAAAACAAATCCCTAGGATACTTGCCACTGGTGTTTATAACTTTTATACTTTTGTTTTGTCCTTGCCCTTAAAGGGGCCTAGACACGGATTTGAAGTGAATAGTTATCTCAAATTTTCTGTATAATATCATGACTTATATCTTGTTATAACATGTCACACGGAAATATAATTAAAACTTATTTTATCTTGAAATTATTAAAAGTACGAATTTTGGGATGCGTTTGATTGATACATCCTTACACTTTCACAACGTTAACTTTATTCTTAATACTTAGGAAAAGTAGAAATTTTGCGGTGTATTAATGAAAAATATTAGAGTTATAATCCAGAAAATACAAAGTAGAAATGTTAGAAAGCAAAATCATCTCACGAGTATTGTCAGTTTTGCTCAGTGATTTGTGCAGAGTTTAACAAATTGAACACATCGGTGAAACGTAAACTGTTTTTGTAAACAGGGCTCTGTCATTGTACAGTTTACGTTTCACTGGGTAGTTTCCAGTGTCTATCCCTATATGTCCATCACATACATAATACTCTGATATTAATTTAATGCATTTTACATTAGAAAATGATGTACCAGGATAAGCTTCCAAAATGTAGATAACTAAGCAGTGATTAATAAACAAAGATTGCATTAAAGTCTATGGGGACGAGCGTTTTTTTTAAATAAAAAATGTGAATAATAAGAATAGCAATAAATACTGTGGTGGAAAGATGCATTAAAACAAATTAGAAATAGAATGACAATTGAAACGTTTTATTTTACCAGATAAGTTTTTTTTCTGTTTAAATTGATTTTTTTAATCAATTAAAAACATAGTGATATGACTCTTACCAAAATTCAACGTCATATATTAGGACACATCCAACCCTAACATGCTAACAGTTAGTCCGAAATATCTTACGTTTTCATCTTTTTTTACGACTTGACATTTTACGTGCCAAGCAAACGTCAGAACTGTCCCCATTACGAAAACTGGAAATTTGGCCTTCTCCAACCAGAGTTGATTTTCGATTCTTGCGAACCGAATTAAATGCCAAACTCAAACTTAATCAATAGCACAATGCTTCTAGTACTCACCAATATCGATGAAAAGAAAACACCACTCCACATTTCGATACAGGATTTGCAAGGTTTTAAAATGCATAAAATGAAAAACAAATTTCGACAGTCAGATAAAATGTTTTCATCGAACTGTATATTTTAAAAAGAACCATAAAAACGATGTTGATGAGTACTTAAAATATTGTACGATTGATAAGTTGTGAATTTGACATTTCATTCGTTCGCAAGTAACGATAATCAACCCGAGAATGTCGCCTCCGGTTGGAGGTAGCGAATTCCCAGTTTTAGTAATGGTGCCGGTTCTGAAGTTTTCCTGGCAAGCAAAATATCAAAATAGTAAAAAAGCCTGGAAAACGTAAGATATTTCAGACTAATAGTAATAATTTTGGAACGCAGCTAGGTTAAGGACGCCCATGAAATATACGCATTTATATATTCAGGGAAAATAAATACAATTTTTAATATTTCTTTTAACAGCAGTAGTTTTGGTAAATGTGAATTGTGGTGATTGCATTTGTATATATCGGGTCTCTGCTGAGTTCAGCCAAAGTGACATCGCTGACATCAGCTGTTTGTCACGTGACCGGTTTAAAATTGGACCATATATGTACTACTACAAAGATAGTAAAAGTTCAACGATATACGGACATTCTTCCGCTATAAAATTTATTTTGTTTTCTTTGAGACAAATTCCTTAACCCGAAAAGTGCTGGGAGCAACTTCCTCATGCTTGAGGATTGTTTAAAATTTAGCCGTCTTTCTATAAACCCCAGACAAAAATGTAATACGCATTGGAATAATGTTAGATTACGGAATAAATAAACAATGTACAACCAGCTCCCAGCACTTTTCAGAACAGTAGGAATAATGGCTACACGTGTTTAAAAATTCAGAATTTATAGTGAAACGGATATCGTTGAACTTTTGATATTTTCGAGGGGCTTGACCCCTCATTCTAGCACGTTACTGTACAAATGTGCTCCATGCGGCTATACATAAAGTCCACACATTATCAATTTAGTTTGACAATAAAATGTGGATTAATATATTTCAGAATATGTCTCTCTTTTTGTCTGACTACGCATGTTTCGTATTTATTTTTATTTTTACAAGCCACGATAAAAGTTTGATCCACGCCTCAAATACAGAGAAACTGCGTGTCAAACTAAGAAATGACGTCATCTCAGTAAGTACAGCGAGATCAAGCTGGCTTTCATTCTGCATACGCTAAGTGCTATTACGGCAAGATAAGTTGCACATCCATTTATTTTTATAACATTTATGAGAAACGAAAGTATTTCGTGTGTTTTAAAAAGAACATTATAGTATTTATTCATCGAGATTCATTTGTATTGTTTTAACGTGACGTCATAATAGCTCTCCCAAACCTCTGCATAGGCTGACGTAGATATGGGAGTCCTTAACCTAGCTGCGAATTATGTCTAAATCTACTGAGTATTCATTTATATATTTATGTATTTAAGTTCATTTAATCTGTTGCTACTAGGGATGGACCACCTTAACTTCTTTCTTGTTGATTCAACAACCAATTTCTTCAGCCAGCTTCTGTATGCCTGACTTTCCCAGAGCTTTGCCTTATATACTTTTTGGTTTGGCTAGTCCATATCAAGGGTTGGCAGGTCATTCTACTATCTGAGGTCTTCAATGCGTTTTATTCTAATGGCCCTTAACCATTACACCTATATATTCCTATGTAAAACTTTGACCAGCTATTGTTTCCCCGCCCTACCCACAGTGGTTATGAATCTTGAATCTGCACTACTTGAGGATACTTCTGTATGAATATGACTAATATTAGCTTAATTGTTTTTGAGAAGAAGATTTTTAAACGTATTCCCTATACATTCCTATGGTAAATTTTGACCCCCTCTTGTGACTCTGCCCTACCCCCAAGGGTCATGATTTTAACAAATTTGAATATACACTACCTGAGGATACTTCTGTTAAAATATGACTAATCATGGTTTTGCTGTTCTCTAGAAGAAGATTTTTAAAAGACATTTCTTATATATTCTTATGTAAAACTTCGACCCCCTCTTGTGGCACCACCCTTCCCCCGGGGGTTAAGATATGAACACACTTAATTTTACAGTATGTCATGAAATTTTCACATAAGTTCCATCTCTTCTTGCCCAGTGATTCTTGAGAAGAAGATGTTTAAAAGATGTCACCAAATTTTCACGAATTCTTAAGTATCTTCCCTAAAAAGAGGGCACTTCCTGTTAACAAATGTTGATCACCTTCACCTAACGATGCTTTGTGACAAGTTTGGTTGAAATTGGCCCAGTTGTTCTTGAGAAGAAGTTGAAAATGTGAAAAGTTAACAGACGACAAACGCCGTACGTCGGACGACAGACGACAGACGGACGCCGGGCACTCTTTGATCAGAAAAGCTCAGTTGAGCCTACTGCTAAGGTGAGCTAAAATGAACTGCCAGAACAAACCTCTCTTTGGTTTATTAGAAATCTTTTATGTTGAACATGTTAAACTCAATTGTTTGACTAAATGTTGGATATATACACAAATGAAAATTACGAAAAGTTTTGCACAGATCTTATGGTATAAAGTTCCATGGTACAACTTGTAGGTAAGGATTAAATACTTACTGAAGGGTATTGGAAACGAAGAAAATAAAATTACCTTTTGTGTCTTTCTGACATTGTCTTTATAAGTCTACGAAAGAAAAAAAAAGAAATAACACTTTATGTGGGATTGATATAAAATAAATATACTGTGTCATTGCGCAATTGACGATAATTTTCATATACATGTAAACCCACCCATTCAACCCGAAAAGTGGTGGATCAAATGTGAAATAAATCAATCAGAAATGGTCTTAATAATCATTACATCATTACATTTCCTGTAAATGTACATATTTATAAATGACTCAGGTGACCTAAAAATAGTAGACAACAAAGACAGGTATCACTAGAGAATAAGCAAGGGGATAGAAGACCACATTGAAAAGTTTTTTAAAGGCATTTATTGTAGTTAGGTATAATATAAATATCAAGGTTATTTCAGTTATCAAAACTGCCTTGTGCAGAGTCTTGCACAATGTAGGGTATATGCATTTGTCAATTTCTGAAGGAGGTAAATAAAAGGTTTCTATGCCTTATTACAATGTTTGTAAATGAACATTTTTATTTTCATGGGATGAGGACATACAGGCTGCAGTTGTTTGGAAGTTACGCAGTGTTTGTGTGAATAACATTTTCTTCATATTTTATTTATGCATTACATGCATTTGTCTAATGTATAATTATTTGAAGTAAAATATGCTTTTATCTGTATTATTAATTTAATATTTATTAACATTGTTGAGACGAATCAGTGTCTTATAAAGTTGAAGCAAATTCATAAGTAAGGGTTAATCATAGAAAATGTAGATTTTAAATAAATATCTGAACTATGAAAGTGACTATCAAACTAATCTGTACATGTATTCTATATATTTTACAGTTAATATATATTTAAAAGAATTCCAAAACAATTATATTCATAGTGTTGTGTATGATGAAATATTAAGATTAACAAAATTTAAGAATTGAAAATTGTTTGATATTTGACAGTCAGTATGATCGACTTGTAAGTAAATTCAAAAGTTTCAAAGTTTTCTTTCATTTTCCTAAAAATTGCAAAATGGTTACCATGGAAACAAAATATCTTCTGTAGACTACTTATTTGATCTGCTTATGCAAGTATTTTTGTTACTTTATAATTATAATGAATATTTAACGAGGCCGAGTCTTACTCGAGTGGGCATGACTTTGCGCAGCTTTTTGATTTCATGCAGTCATATGTGCGACATTACACCTTTCCCAAGTTTAGTGATTTTAATACAAAATTAACATTACCTGTAACGCTCAGGGGTCTGAAAATGTGCTTTAACAACTATAATTAGGGGGGATAACGTTGAAAAGGCTCTAATGACGTCACTGATTTCCGATTTTGTAAGCAATGCTTGATGCCGAAGAATGACACATGACTCGCTTGTATATTCAAGATGTCCATGGATATTTTAATAAAAACTCTTAACAGAACATCAAAAGGAACATATAAGCAATCTAAACGTTGCTATTTTTTTTAACAAAATAATTCATATGCGCAGATAATTCATCTACACCGATATATATACCGCAATTATGGCAATTTTAGAGGTATTGGGCATTGGAAAAATAAACTTTGTAATAATTTCTAAACCAAATGGAATGGGTTTTTTTTTTTTTTAATTTCACAGTTTGGTGACTTTTTACAATAACTTTCATATATTTGGCTGAAAAAGAAATCTCTAGCGCAAAAATACCAACAAATATGGGAAAAAATGTGATAGTTTGGCCCTTTGCCGACAAATTCCCATAGGGTCCAATAGTAAAATTTGACCACGTTTGAGATGGTCCCCTAAGAAATCGGGACGGTAAACATTCGATTTATTAATCTTAAAAGAATAAATATAATAGTAAAAATTAATTTAAAAAAAGAATTATCAAATTCTCTAGGGTAGAAATAATTAGACTCGGTCTCGTTAAGTTCTAGTTACATCTGCAATTAAAAGTACGGGAAAAAGTAACACTACATGTGTAATAAGCAATCCATTATTATGAAGTCATTATGATGTCATCGATGAGTGAATTTGCATTGGCTTAAAAATGCTTTGAAACAGATCAATGTATGCTTCTGGTTTTTAAGATTCAATGTGAATTCTGCTCCAGTTTTTGAAGTCCCAAAACCCTTGCCTGGAAATAAAAGCCTCGAAAACTTCAACAAAAGGAGAATAACTCGTTAGCAGAAGGATTTTTTAAAAAATTTATTCCAACATTTTGAAACTGTTTTGTTAAGTCTAGAAGACTGAGCAAAATCCCTTCAGAAAAAAAAGCAAACTATAAAGCTTCAAAGTCAGCGTCTAAGAAAGAAAGAAAAGATATAATATTTTTAACCAAAATTATCAGTAAATCCTTAAACGATTCATAAAAACCTAACCCAACTATCATATCAAAGGAATCCGGATAGCACTACGTAGTTCATTATCGCACTAACGAGCATCGACTGCTGGGTCGATGGCGCCAAAGTGCGATGACAATAATAGTGCGATATCGATGACGTGATGCAACGATAACGCGATGACAATGATGCCATAGCACAATAATAAGATGGCGATGACGTGGTCGATCGATAAAATGATAGTGAGTATCGCATCATGGACATCCTTTCATCATTCAATCGTCATCGCACTATCGTTCTCTCATTGTCACATCATCGACATCTCATTGTCGCAACGCAGTACCATCGTCATCACGAAATCGCATCATCGATTCAATGTTATCACTCATTGTCATAGTATTATCGCGTCATCGCACCATCTACCCAATCTTCAATGGTTGGACGATGCGATATAGAATTTAATGGTACTTCCCGGACTCCATACTTATTTATCATGATATCAGAAATGTAATAATCAAAATAAGGTTAAGAGAAAAAAAATTCTTACCTTTCCTCTATCTTTAGTACTACTCAAAAAATACTAAAAAAGAGAAATAAATATAATTAATTAAGATTAAGTTCTATTAAATGCGTTGATTTCGTGGTGCTCGTTTTTTTTATGTATCTAAGGCAGATGTGAAGCTCTAGCATTAACCATTCAAAAGTTATAGCAAGTGTTAAAGTTTTTCAAAAGTAGGTCAAACTCCAAGGTCATGATCAAAGAGTCATAGTTATTGGTATCCAAAGGAAGGACTTGTCACAAGGAATACAAATGTGAAGTATGAAAGCCCTAGCACCAACCGTCAAAAGTTATGCACAAGGATAATGTGGGGAAGATTTTTGTAAAACTGGGTCAAACTCAAAGGTCAAGGTCAAAAGGTCAAATATGATGGTACCCAAAGAAAGGTCTTGTCACAAGAAATACACATGTGAAATATGAAAGCCATAGCTCCAACCAATCAAAAGTTATGAGGAATGTTAAAGTTGTTTGCGGACAAACAGACAGACAGACGGACGGACGGACAGGGCAAAATCTATATACCCCAGAATCTTCGATACGGCGGTGAAAAAATGAATTAATTTACCACAATAAAGATTATGAAAGACGTATTATAAAAGTCTGAATTATTTTTTTTTAAAAAATAAACGGTTAAAAATATAAAATGAATTTTGCAGGGCTCGAAACCATGTACTATAGTATTCAAACAGGGAAATGTTTCATTGTTTTAAACGCAATGCTTAATCCCCGGGTCTTTCAACTCCCAACGATTTAAATTGATGTAAATCAAAACAATATACTCCGATTTATTTATATTAAGACGATAGAAAAAATCAAGAGAATAATTTTCACGTTTGGTCCCTTACACATAAAACGCGTATGATTTTTTTTTAATATCGGGAGAATGGATTGGACTGACCTCATTATTTTTTTTTTCAAAAATAGTCTCTTACTGTTAATTTAAAATGGATTTTTTTTTTTAAAAAAAGGCTTACCACCCCCCATCCCCCACTTTCTGTTACAGTATGAACGGACCCCCCCCCCCCCTTCCTCCACACACACACACACATTACATGCATATGTAAGAAGGTTTTTGAGTGCGGACAGTTTTTTTATTTAATGTCAAGTTTTTCAAGGAATTTTATTTTTTGGCTAGACAATTATATTTTTCTGCCCCCTCACCCTGAAAGTCAATTATTTTTTCTACCCCCTTACCCAAATTGAAAAGAGATCTGACGTGCCTGCATTATGAATAAGGAAAGGAAGTGAACATTTTCAAGGGCAAAATTCAGGTGGTTTTTGATGAGGTGGAAAACTTAGTTTACCAAACACTGTAACAAATGTTGCAAAGAAGAGGGCTTATTATGATAACATTTGTGCAAAAAAAAAAAAAATGATTTGTGTAATTCCTCTCAGCCAGACAGGTAGGAAGCAATTTCATTTTTTTTTTTTTTTTTTTTTTTTTTTTTTTGGACAAGCAAAAAAAAAAAAGGTCATCAGACGTTATTATTTAGAGGGACAAGCATATAGTAGCTATGCTTTCTATAATATTCTATATATCGTCAAAATTATTGAAGGGGGGGCAACCCCCTCCCCCCCCCCCCCCGGGCCTTTGGCCATATGAGTTAATACACAGACTGTTGTGGAACGCGAAATTGTCGCCTATACTTGCAATGCTCAGAAAAATAAGCATCACCACAAACTTAGGATGATCTCAGAACATGCTTTATGTTGTCATAAAGTTAGGACGAACTTATGACGAGGTCCTAGATTTACGAAAGTTTCAAAAAACTGACTTAATACTAAGATATTTCCTAAGACGTTCTTAGGAGACATCATATTCCTAAGATAACTTTGTGAACATGCGTGCAAGTCTTTAAAATAACTTGTTAAGTTTAAAGTATTTTTCAAAATCATTCACGCAAAATCTTATTCAATTCCTAATTTCGTCTACCTAATTCTAGCATTCTAGCATTTATGTCAATGCGTATAAACTCGGGCACTTAGAACAGCTTCTGAAATTAAATGCCTTAAAATTTTTGCTACAAAAAATCAGAGTCTCATTTTCCCCTTAAAAAATGCAGCAATAAGAATGTATCAATTTAAATATAGTCGGTCTTCAATGATTGCTTTTTCAAAATCAATTTTCAGAAGAACAGCCAAGCAGATTAAGATGACCTTCGACCAGATTTATATACACTCGAAAGCAGGGTAAAATAAACAGTGTACAGTACATGGACTGGTTAGACAATAAACCTTAATTAGACGTCCCAGTCAGTCCCCGGTCAGCTAACAGAAAACTATACACGGGAACGTACAGTGACAGAATTTGATGATCTGATATCTTTTTACAAAACTTCAAATTTAATACATGCTTGAGACAAATCAAAAATTATGATTGTGGGCAAAAAGACAATTATTTTGATACCCATAATGATATAAAAAGAATTAAAACTGAAGATAATATCATGAAAAATTATTTTATATTTTATTAAATTTATTATTTTATAAATTAATAAATAATAAATGTTACGTAAAGATTGTCAATTATTTAGAACACACAAACACACATACATACAATCCCCGTAAATATTCGAAGCATATTTATAAGAACTATAGTCTGTCTATAGTCAGACTATGTGGAGGTAAACGCAAACGTCTGGATCATACAGACTATACGATCTACAATCTGTTTTTTTTTTTTTCATCTTTCTCTTTCGATTACACATTCCTTTTTAATAACAAAATTTTGTTATATCTGTTGAATATCAATCTTTAACATGCTAATGAAACTGCAAATAACAGAACGAAGAATTGATTAACTTGAAATAAAAAAGTTGTTTCATGCCATCACACCGAACTCCATGGTTAAGAAATATAAACGTTTTGTTTGCTTGTTTGTTTATTGTCTAACGTCCCTCTCGAAAATTTTTCACTCTCACTGGAGAAGCCACCACTTGCCGGTTGAGAACTACAAATTTTTACTTTTAATCGGCACCCAGGGCCATCGAGCAGTGAGGGATCTTTTTCATGCCAACACCTACTGCGACACGGGACCTCGGTTTATACAATTTCATTCGAAGGACTAGTCTCCACGTCCCACAGTGGGATTCGAACCCACGACGTAAGGATCAACTCCTTACCCCGCGACTCTAGAGCGAACGCTCTAACCACTGCGCCACACAAATATTAACGTAATATAAAACTTTATATATATATATATATATATATATATATATATATATATATATATATATATATATATATATATATATATATATATATATATATATATATATATATATATATATATATATATCTATATATATATATATATATCTATATATATATATATATATCTATATCTATATATATATATATATATATATATATAGATATAGATATAGATATATATATATATATATATATATATATATATATATAAATATATATATATATATATATATATATATATATATATATATATATATATATATATATATATATATATATATATATATATATATATATATATATATATATATATATATATATATATATATATATATATATATATATATATATAGTTTTTAAATATATGCAAGTATAATTATCGTATTATTGAAAAATAAATTATATACATTAGAAAAAATATATGTACAGGGAACAATCCAAAGAAGTGTTGTTAAAATAAAAGGTTTTGATATTTCACTGCTTTTTGAACAGCCCCGATACCTCAGTAGTTAAAGAGTTCGCCCTCCAAACTAAAGATCGTTTGATCGAATCCTGGTGGGAACGGGTTATTTTTTTTTTCATTTACTTATTTATTTATTTATTTACTTTTCTTTCTTTTACATCATTTTTGCCGAATAACAAATGGGTAAACTCGACATTTATAATTTTTGTGAAGAAATAATTGTAAAAATGATATTTAACTCATAAAAACAGTAAACTATTCACGGTAGCTCAGTCGGTAGAGCGCTCGCTCCGTGACCGGGAGATCGTGAGTTCGAATCTTGGCCGCGACTGACCTAAGTCGATAAAAATGGGTAGCAACTGTTCCTTCGCAATGCGCTCGGCACTTTGAAGTGAAAGTTGCGGGTCCTTCGGATGAGACCTTAACAATCGAGGCACCGTGTCGCGGCAGACCTTGACATTATAGAGATCCCTCATTGCTTAATGGCCCTGAGGGCCGAGTAAAGGTCAAAATTTGAAGCCTTTCATCCGTATATGGTGACGTCTCTATATGAGTGAAAAATTCTCGAATGGGACGTTAAACAACATACAATCAATCAAGCAACAAAAAAGCAGTTTATCGAACTGCGTAATGGTGACTTAATGGTGGCTTAAAGGTTGTTTAATGGTATCTTAATGGAGTTTAGACATTAAGTACCTATAAGTCTGGCCTAATGGTGACTTAAAGATTGTATAGAAGCTACCATTAAGCACTTATAAGCCACCATTAAGCCACCATTAAGCTATCTTTAAGCACCCATAAAGGACTTCGAGAAGGCTTAATGGTAACTTAATGGTGGTGTATTTATTACTTACAGACAACCATTAAGCCATCACTAAGAACCTATAAGTCACCATTAAATCAAACCTAAAGGAAGTGTGTAGAACTCAGGTTAAAATGTGTCAAAATGAGGAACATTGAAACGGTAGTTTCAGATATTTTGGCAATTTAAAAAAAAATATTCAATGCAAAAAAAAAATAATAAAATTAAAAAATAAATAAAAATAAAAAAAATCAGTAGATGACGTCACAATATTTGACCTCTGAATATGACATTGACCTTTATTGTGTATTAGGAATGGAGACTCCTTATAAATATGTTCAGGTATTAGGTCTCTACTAAAAATGGATCAAAAGTTACTTTGCATTTAATAACAGACTGTCATATTGCATGCAGATGGCATAAACACATTCTAAAATGGCTCTCGAATGAACAATATTCAGGATTCTCTATTTTTTTTTTCCCGACATATGGCTAAAAAAAATCACAACTTAATAATTTTCTTACCAAGATCATTAATTATTG